CGCGGTAATACACACTCGCGTTCAGGAGTCGGGACATGACGGAATATTCACTTGCACAATCGGGCCAGCAGTGCATCGTGAATGAAGTTTACCATTTGCATGTCTTTTTAGTCTTGCCAGTTTAAACATTCAGGCGATTTTAAACTGATCAGTGCTCGCGCGCTCTCTGGGATGACTATGCGCACATTCATAGAAAATCCACCTCAAGAACAGTTGGCCAGTAACAAAAGTTATTTTTCACGGATTATATTGCTTTAACACACAAAACTGTCAATTTGGGTCTTCGTGAGTATAAAAGTCTAAACATAGTAGGTTTTGTCTTTAATAAGCATAAAGCTCATGCCAGCATAATGAACATAGAATCCATGCCCTAGCTCTTAAAGAGACAGCACCCATATGTGCCGGTCATTAATTTTGTCGTCAAAACAACACGTTTAAGGAATTAAAGTTAAAGGAATCAGGATTAATAGCCTATGTAGGCCTATTTAACTTATTCTGGACTAAAATAATATCCAGTGCTATTTTCCATTTGATTCCTTAATTCAGTTTCTGTCTATGAATATAGTGTTAGACCTTCAAAAACTTTTCTCTTTATTTGTATCTTTATTCTATTGTATTTATTTGTGCAACTTTTTTCAATTTAAATCAAGCTTTGTGTTGTGTAAATTCTTAACAACATTTCCCCATTGTAAAAATGCAATGAGCGCAAATATTCAGGCAAGATAAATAATAATTTTGTTTGGCAAAAATTAAGGTATTTTTTTAAGTCACAGTAGTTAACTGTACCTGTATTGCATGTTCAAACTTTAAAATAATTCATATGAACTGCTTAATAGATTTTTTTTTTTCTCTGGAAGTATGTAGGTTTGGAAATTCTGAATTAATGCATTACAGTTGAACTAAACAACCCATTTTAGTCATCTGAATTGTTTTAGTTAACTAATAGCTATGGATGATAAAGTACAGAAACAACATTTTTATTTTGGGACGGTTGACAATCACTTTAGGACAGTTCAAATTGTTATTCAGGACGGTTCTAGAAGGAGGTGAAAAAAGTTAGTCTGGAGCCCTGCAATCACAGACATAAGTGCTGATTTTTTTAACGCAATGGCCAATCAGAAGCATTTAAGACACCCTCACCGCTCAAAACGGACTTTTGTGCTGAATTCTGTAAGCTGGCAAATCCTCTTATAAAAAACAACGTGTATATATAAAAGTAATTTATTGTGCAGTCAGCTTCATTGATGATAACAGATGTGCGAGATTGCAATGAACCGTCAGCTTTTTAGGAAATATTGACGGAGCACACTTTGCGCGCATTCAGTCATGCCAGACCATGCACGCAGTAGCCTGCTAACTTAAATGTTAAATTAACAGTGGTTTGTGCTTTAATAACAAATAATTTATCATAGGGTAAAGTCGGGTTTTGTTTACATCCATTTTATTTGTTGTTTTTTGGTATTTATTCAAGTGCATTTTTTAAACAAAGACTGAGAGTCAATTTCTTTTATTGTTTTTGGTTGTATGGTTCATTTATTGTGGATAATTAAAATTTTCCATTTTCAGTGTTAAATAGTCTTTAGAAATAAAGTTTATTGATCTTTGAAAAGGTGTACCAGCATTATTATATTATTTTAGATGTAAATGGTCTCAGAACGACAATATCTCTTATCGCAATAATTTCTTTGACAATTTGTCGTCCAGCAAAATTTGTTATTGTGACAGGCCTATGAGTGTATGCATTTTTAAACAGATGTCAAAACTTTTTAAACAGATGTAATATTTCATGCTAGTGCACCTTTAAGTTCTGAAGACCATCTGAGTCCAACAATTTTCTCTGATACCATGACGAGTCAAACACAGGCCAGGAGACACACAGCTAGACATCTTTAAAGCAATAATCACACCTTTGCAGTCATATGTGAAAACACTCAGTTTACCATTCTTACAGTACTGTATTCATCATTATTCCTATACCTACAATTATATGTACTATGAGTTAGGAGACAGGACAAAACGCTAATGGCAGCTTTGAAAAAAGGTTGCCAACATACAAAACACTCATTGCGCCTCATGACAAAAGCAGCAGAGAGACTCTAAAGAATCTATTACACAACAGGACTTACAAAATGTCAGTTATATCACCACTTTGGTAATTCTGAACATTCCCCTTTTCATTAGATTATTAAGAGCCAAAAAATGGCAAATTAGGGTGTCACAAACACCTCAAATATCCCAACTTTTAAACAACATCCAAATTGCTTAAATGACTTTAAATCAGTCACTGTAATAATCAAACTATCACTCTTTAAAGCCTGAATTCTGATCTAATCTTAGTTGAAAAGGATTTATGTAATGTGTGAAATTGTCAGCCACACTTATATTGACACTGTTTTGGATGGGGCAGCAGAGTTAGTGTGTTGAGGCGACATGACTGACAGCAACCATCCGCAATGCAACAAAGTTAAGCAGTAGTATGTAAATTGCCAGTAACTAGGTGTGTCACGATTCTCCAAATCCTCGATTCGATTACATTTTCGATTTTATTCTCGATTTTTATCAAACGGACAATCAGGATGCTCTGTGCCTTACATACGCTTCATGAGGCACACACGCAAAGCCTCTCGCTCTCTCCCTCTCTGCCGTGCACGCAATACGGATTGGAGCACAGTTTTTTCTGTCTCGGCATGCACGCTCGCTCTTGCTCAAGTTCTGTTGATGGGTCTTGTGCATCTACAACTGCCATGCTATCTTTTGAATGGCTGTAGCTAAGTTAGAGTAGGTAGACCATAGACTTGTAGCACTTAAACATGCATGTTTTTTTCCGCTTGGCAAGCCGAATGGACGTTACATGGGAGCTCGGCAGCATTGACGATTCCATTTTTTAATTTGAAGTTCGAGATTGTGAATTAATTTCGATCAATTTCAATTTAAAATCGTGACACCCTTACCAGTAACATGATACAGCAACCACCAATCAATCACCACTGAAAGGCAACACGCATGATGGGTCCCATGAAGTTGGAACATCCACCACCAACCAAATATACAGTCTCAACCAGTCGAACCACAAAGATCGTGCTAAGTGAGCTGAACTGTTACTTGGAATGTCATATGAAAGTATGGGACCACTTTTTCCCTTGTAGTCAGTAACTATTTCTGGCCAAACTTTTTAAAAATGGCGGTTGTATTCTGGATACTCCATCTGTCGTGTGCAATGATGATGCAGTGAATAGTGACAATTCTCTCTGACCAATCAGCAGTTGGCATTGTTTTCACATCACATTTTAATATCGCCTCAGCTCGCTCAGAACCTCGCTGGAGGTGATACAAAAAAAGTACCCAAAACAACAACAACAGGTACAACGTTTACACAGTGGAAAACCAAACAAAAGCGAGTCGATTCGAGCTGGTACTTTGTGGTGGAAAAGCGCAATTATTCTACATAATGAAAATGGTCATCTGTGATATTGACCCACTGGTATCCTGAAAAGTTTTTCTTCATTTGATATGTTTGTTATCTTGCTTTGGCAACAAGCCTCCACAAAGTGTTGGCAGCTGTAAAGGGGTTTTCTCTCAAATCAGGGATCAAGACTATCAAGACACTGCCTGATTAATCGTTAATAGATCGCAATCTCGATTCAAACAAATGTATTGGTGCATCCCTAGTTCCTTCATGAGGCCACTTGGGCTGTTTTAGTTGCGGAATTAAATTGTTAGCATTTGTGGTATCTTAATGCTCTTATGCTAAAATTTGGATGAAATGTAAAGACATTTCTCAAATGAGAACAATCATCATTATTTCTAATTTATGATTTGAGCAAAATAGTCATAAATAACCATTACCGTGCATTCTTAAAGGGATAGTTCCCCTAAAAATAAATTCTTTCATCATTTACTCACCCTCAAGTTGTTCCAAACCTCTGTTTATTTGTTCTGCTGAACACAAAGGAAGATATTTGGAAGAATGTTTTAATCAAACAGATCTCAATCAACATTGACTTCCATATGGTAGTCAATGGGGATTGAGATCTGTTTGATTTATTTGTTTATTTGTTCTGCTGAACACAAAGGAAGATATTTGAAAGAATGTTTTAATCAAACAGATCTCAATGACCAATGACTTCCATATGGTAGTCAATGGGGATCGAGATCTGTTTGGTCTATATTCGGTGACTATGACTATATGACTATGACGTCACGGGTTTTTATTTAAAAGAAAGAACATAGCCTACGTTTGTGGGGTTTATGTGAGGATTGTTTGAAGTTCACTTATACTTTTTTAAGCCTAATAATTTTTTTTAAAAAGTTGATGGCTTTCAATTGTAATGATGGAATCACTGTAATGTTGGTTTGGTTGATGGTTTATTGATCATTATAGGTGTTATCAATCATTTAGTTGTTGTTTTTAGTTTGAGTTGAGAAATAAACATTAATACGCAAAATGATCACTAATCTGTGTGTGCATTTTACTTTAGAACCAAGCAAGTTGGACTCACGAAACCATTTTTATTTTATTGCAATTGGAATATTGACTTCAATAATCGCAATATGACATTTTCCCCAAATCGTGCAGCCCTACTAAGCATAGATTATACAGATATAATCCCTTCGCTATGTGCTATGAACTTTTCAATGTGAAGCGTTGCGTGCTTTTGGTGTTGCTTCAAGTGCATCATTCTGCACACAGGATGCGCATGATCGCTTTGCTGCTCTTAGTGGAGCCTATCATATTATATACTTGACTATAATACTTTGGGGAGACAAGGGGGCGTGGCCTAAAGGAATATCACTCGTGGGCCACGCCCCCTCCCCCTGGGGAAATGGGCCTGCCACCACAGCTTGAAAAAATCCTAGAGGAAACACTAACAGTTACATATTCCTCAAGTTATTGGACATTTAATGGTTATTTAGGAACATGTCTGGTCAAGTACTTAGTTGAAGTCAGAGTTCTGTTATTTTCGACTGCTGTTTTTACTGCTGATTTTGTTTTTCTGTAGGGAAGACCCCGAATTGGTCCACTGAGAGCACTGACCAACACAGCTATTTATGGTACAAAAACCCTTCTGAAAGCGACACGAGACCTTATGCTCAGACTACCACGTTAAAGTCTGAAAAAACAGATGACAAGGATGCTTATGATGCTTGGAGCACTGTGGTCGGACTGGGGGCACGCTCCACACCCGTCTTTACCGGACATAAAAACCCTCCATCTACCTTGTGGGCATCCAGTAGTTACAGTCGCAGCAACATTCAGGGCACATCCTCCACTGAGACTCGGTTAGAAGAGTTTGCCCAAGGGAACTTTGATGTTCCTGTTGAGCCATCTGAAAGCGAGGACCACTCTCAGTCTCTTCTCAGGGCATCCAACTGCAGAACGTATTGCAGACCCAGTAAAGGCAAACAGCCTGGTGGAGCTGATGGGAGTGGAAGTGCTTCCAGTCATAGCTCCATGGAAACGTTGCAGAACAGCGGGGCCGAAAATGCTGGGAAAACAACGAGTAGAGGTCGGACGAGAGACTACACAGTGCTGCATCCGTCTTGTGTTTCCATGTTTAACGTCACCTTCCAGGACTCCATGGACCGCAGTATGGAGGAGTACGTGGCCAGCGCCCCAGCGGCTAGTCCAGGAGATGCAGGAAGACTGAAGAAGAAAACCGAGATAGAAATCAAACCTCTCAGGTAATAGTTAAGTGTAAGAACATTATTGTAATTACTAGTACTAAATTTGATCTGAACTGTACGTCAAACTGTTTTTGGACAATGTTCTAAATTTGTAGTGTCTGTCTTTTTTTTAGACACAAGCTATATATATATATATATATATATATATATATATTGCAATGGGCATTTAAAAAAATATTGCATTCGATTATAAACCTTAAACTAATCTTTGATTATCATCAAATGACAAAAAAATCCTGTGAAAATAAGTTCGTCATGCCCTAAAAGAGCTTGAATGAAACTCTACACCCTTGCTTCATTTAGTATACGGAGTCATGCATATGCAAATTAGTTCCCACCTCATGGGAGTTTCATATCAACAGAACAATATCCCCCCCCACCCCCCACCACCACACACACGCACACTTTGCCGCATATATTTACTGATATGCTAAAGCCAGCCCCACACGTTGACTGGATTGGTTAAAACATATTTGTGATGTAGTGAACAAGGGCGAAGGAGAAAACATCAGCAATGGTGTTGACTGATGAATTTGCACATGGTTTGTCTTAGAGTATATTAAAAACACCATATAGACCTATGTTACTCCACACCAAACTGAAACACTTATAACTAGATCTCACAGCGCTGTTTACCCATCAGTGAATGCATTTGCTCTAAGCTCACGCTGTGCTCTCTTTTGGGCTGAGCTGATAAATGGTTTCTGTGGGGTGGTTCAAACAAGTAGCACAGTTTCATTCTGCTTTTGGCACGTTTGCCATTTAATGTTTCTCATATGCAACAGAAATGGCAGCGCTTACCAGTTGGTCATATTGGTAGTGCCACCAATGTGACATCTTGCCATAATTCAGTCGCACCGGGAGGAAAAGGGGTTGCAAAATGTAACCATTTAGTCACAGTCTAGAGCTCTGCCCTAACCAAAGAAGAAAAAAAAAAATTGCTTTGCCATGTGAACGTCGGTGCCTTAAAATAAAATAGAAATGAATATTAAATCCATCCAACTCCAGACATTAAAAAAATATGCATTTGATTTCATCTAGATTTGATGGCTCTGATCACTCAGAAACTTTTTTTGAAAGATTACAAAAAAAAAAATATAGCTGCGAGCAGCGATTGCGGGCCCAAGCCGGTGGCACCGCAACCCCGGTGCCTTTAGTTACCCAAAGGCACCGGGATGGTGGTACCGCCGGCTTTGGCCCTTTATCGCTGCTCACAGCTATATTTATATTTAATATAAAGCCGGTGGCACCGCCACCTTGGTGCCTTTAGGGTTATTCTGTATGACGTGCAAAAACGTAACCCCCACTTTGACTGTCGAAAAGAAGTGTATTGTAGAGCTTGCATCAATGCGGACTCGATGCGCTGTAACTCCATGTGGCTTTAAGCGCATCATTCTCCACTCGGGATGCGCATAAGCGTTTTGTGCCACACTGTACTGAGCCTTTGATATCATAATGCAATGACAGATTATTAATTGCCTTTCTTGTTCTGTTCTATCTATTATGTGTTGATAAAAGATAGGACAGAGCACTAAAAACCTCAAACAAAGCACTAAAAACTTAAGCTGTTTGCTGTGTAGTCTGAGAATGAGCTGTTTGATTTGCACCCTCTTCCTCTTCACTGTCCTCCATAAAAACCAGCTATTCAGGTCCATGTTGTTCTAGAAAGTTTGTATGTTGCTGCCTCATTTAACATCTCTGCTATACATTTAAAATAATTATCTAAAATAATTTATCTTTTTGATTTTTGTTATCTTGTTTTTCATGAATGTATTTTACAACAATACAAAGAGCAATGTGTATTTACCACTAATATAGTTTGTAATGGCTTTTTTTGTCATAGATTATAATCATATATTTTTTTGGATTTGTTATTTATCTTTATAATGAAGTTGTCTGTATTAAGTAGATTGTGTTTAACACACAGTGATTTATCAGTTCAACACATAGTTATAGAAATTCTACTTTATCTAAAAAAAACCTGCACTTTATACACACACACACACACACACACACATACATAAATACATGTAAATAAAAATAGAAAAAGAAACATCAAATGTGTTTTTAGTCAGAGTATTTTTTATACAGAAACAAATATTTGTAATTCAGAAAAGAATGAAGTTAGTGTTTTAAAATCTTAAGGAAAACAAATATATTGAAATATAGCACAAGAATTTTAAATTCATTCAGCTTCAATTACAAATACAATCTTACTTTTATTTAAAGCAAACTATACATTTAAAAGATGGGGGTTATATGCCTATTTTGTCATTTAAAAAAATACTAAATTGTTATGCAAAAAGACAAGGACTTAGAGACAAGGACTTATAGGAAAAATCGCAGCCAGCCACACTGTGTGGTTCAAACATACATAAACACAGACAACAGCCCTCCCCTCCCCCCCACACACACACACATGCACACACACACACACAAACACAGACAACAGCCCTCCCCTCCCCACACAGACACACACACCCACACAGAGAGAGAGAGAGAGAGAAGAGAGAGAAGAGAGAGTGAATCGCAGGGGAAATAAATCCATTCAAACTACAATATCTGACTTTCTGTTGCTCAGAGCGAATGACTTTAAATTGGAAAGTTGATCGACTTGACGAGAACAATATACGTGGAAAGTTTTGTAACTGTAGTAAAATGAGCAAAGTTATAACACACTTATGTGTCCTTTTTTAGTCATAAAATTCATTTCCTCGTCACGGCCAGACCGTTCGAGATATCAAAAATCCGTCCGGAATTGAGCATCCTCAATGTCTTGACTTCATGCACACCGAGTTTGGTTGTGATTGGTAAACACATGCGTTGTAATTTGATGTTATTTCTCCTAGGAGAATATTCAAACAACCATAATCCCAACTTCCTTCTTAAAAACTTAGAGCACGAAAGTTGTTTGGCCTGATGTGATCTTTAATTGTACCGAGTTTCATATTATTCATGCAAGTGTGTTTGATTTATGGACAAATTTTCGAATCCCAGTCCAGGGGGCGCTGTCGAGCCGCCCTGCCACGCCCGGTTACCAGCTTCAGCCCGGCCCTGATGGCCATGGGTTCTGACCCGTGTGCAAAGTTTCAAGAGTTTTAGAGGATGTTAAGGCCCCCGAAAATGCCAGAGAAGTTGCACACAGCAAATAAAGGGTTAAAATTAACCTGACAGGCGCCCCTCCTCTCACTCACACAGAGAGAGACACTGAGAGACTGGCAAAATTCTGAGATTTTCTCTACATTCAAACAAACATATCTGACTTTCTGTGGGTCCTAGCTAATGAGTGTCAATTAGAAAGTTGTCCGGCTCGAGAGTACAATATACATACTGATTTTTGTAACTGTAGATAAAACTAACAACCCCACTTTTGTCAAAAGGTGGCGCTACTGAGCCCACCACACCCGTTTCTGAACGTTGCACATGTCTAATGGCTAATAAATGTGATGTGTCTGTCGAGTTTCATGCAATTTGAAGCATGCTAAGAGTCTCAAAAAGCATCCTAAAGAATGGTAAAGTTTGATGCGTTGCCACGGCAACAGTTTCAAAGATATCAAGAATCCATTTACAGGTCTTCATCTGCCATGTATTTGCATTATACAGATGAAGTTTGAAGCAAATCGAGTTAAAATTAGAGGGTGATTTCAAAGCATTTTGAAAATGACACACTTCCTGCTGCCAGTTGGTGGCGCTATAACTTTGACTCACAATAGTCACATCCATGTGATCGTCCTCTTACAGCGAACACACTGCTGAAGTTTCATCAAGATCGGTTTGATGTGTGCTGAAGTTATGATACACTTCCTGTTTCACGTTTCTCGCCATAATTTTGTTTCCTCGCCACGGCCAAACCGTTCGAGATATCAAAAATCCCCTCGCAAACTTTCATCCTCAATGTCTTGACTTCACGCTGACCGAGTTTTCGTCGAATTTGGATCAAAGCTCTAGGAGGAGTATTAAAAATTCCATTGCGAGTGTTTTACGAACAACCCTAAATAGCCGACTTCCTGTTGGGCTGGGGTAAAAAGTAAAAGCGCGAGGTATAGATGAAACGATGAGATCAACATGTGTACCGAGTTTCATATTATTACATGCAAGCGTGTTTGATTTATGGACCAAGTGTTCGGACCCCGTTCCAGGGGGCGCTGTCGAGCCCCCCTGCCACGCCCGGGTACCAGCTTCAGCCCGGCCCTGATGGCCGCGGGTTCTGACCCGTGTGCAAAGTTTCAAGAGTTTTCGAGCATGTTAAGGGCCCCAAAAGTGCCCGAATAGTCGTTAGAAAAATAAAAGAAAAAAAAAAAAAAAAATAATCGGAAGGAAAACAATAGGGCCTTCGCCCTTTCAGGGCTTGGGCCCTAATAATAATAATAATAATCCTAAGGAAAACAATAGGGCCTTCGCCCTTTCAGGGCTTGGGCCCTAATAATAATAATAGAAAAGAATAATCCTAAGGAAAACAATAGGGCCTTCGCCCTTTCAGGGCTTGGGCCCTAATAATAATCGTTAGGAAAACAATAGGGCCTTCGCCCTTTCAGGGCTTGGGCCCTAATTATGACATCAATTATTTTGACAATTGAGTGTTTTTCTTTTTTATATATATATATAATTTGATTACAATCCATTCAATTGTATGCATTTGTTGTGCATTTAATTTAATCGTCAATGCATCATTTTTTGTTTTCTTTAACAGTTCTTCATCATGCCATATTGCATATTCTACTATGATTTCACAACAAGAAAATCTTTTGATTATAAAAAAAAAATCACCAAAAATAAGTCTTTTCTCTTACAATAGCATTGCACAAAGTCCCAGAGCATCAAGTCGCCAGAAAATAGTAGTGATTAATGACTGTTTAAAGCATTTTTTTCTTTCTATAAAAGCTCAGATACTTTTAATTTTGTAAACGCGTTCTGAATCTTTTACTCCTGTGACATATCGTTGAATCTGCTTGCTGTGCCAGTGATATGACAAGAGAAAGTGAACGTTTTAAAGGTACAACCACAACTGTGGCACATTAACCTCACCTGGATTATTGTAAGACGTTTCATAAGTGTTGTGTTACTGTAGCGCAGGTTTTTGCTTGTTGAAGAAGCAGCGTTCACGTATGCCGCCATTGTTCAGTGGCAGTTCTGGCACTGTGGATGGCAGATGACTCCGTTGACTCGACATCTGCAACCACCCGATGTGTCTCCGGTACCCTGAGGAGTCAAAACCAGGTTTGGGTTAACTACTGTATATCTGATGCTTGTGAATCACTGAACGAATGAATCATGTGGTTTGCGGTCCGACCTTTGGCCCCCATCGGGCTTGTTTAGTCACCCAGCAGATCTCAGTCTTGCACATCAGACAACAGATCCAATCACAGCCGTCTTTCTTCTGGACGATCACTTGACATTTTGGACAGTTCATCGCCTCGCCGTTCTTCAGGAGTTGCTGGAATGGAAACGGTTGACAGCTAATGAACATTTTAGCGTTAATTCTTTTTCAAAAAGCTGAAATAAAGCACAACCAATGTAATCCGATTCCCGAACAAATCAATTATGAATCCGTTCTTTTTAGTGAATCAAAAGTGTACAGCATGACCAATGTAGTCTGTTTCCTGAACGAGGTGACTCTTATGAATTGGCTCTTTTCGGTGAATCAAACACATTCAGCACAACCGATTTAATCTGATTCTTGAACAAATGACGTATGAATCAGCTCTTTTCAGTGAATCAAACACATTCAGCACAACCGATTTAATCTGATTCTGGAACAAATGACTCTTATGAATCGGCTCTTTTAGTGAATCAAACACATTCAGCACAACCGATTTCATCTGATTCTTGAACAAATGATGTATGAATCAGCTCTTTTCAGTGAATCAAACACATGCAGCACAACCAATTTAATCTGATTCTTGAACAAATGACTCTTATGAATCGGCTCTTTTGAGTGAATCAAACACATTCAGCACAACCGATTTAATCTGATTCTTGAACAAATGACTCTTATGAATCGGCTCTTTTCAGTGAATCAAACACATACAGCATGGGGTAGTCGTGGCCTAATGGTTAATGGACAGTCAGACCTGTAACAAAGGTTGCAGGTTTGAGTCTCAATACCAGCAGGAAAGGACTGAGATGCCCCGGGGCGCAACAGCAAAATGGCTGCCCACTGTTCTGGGTGTGTGTGTTCACATTTCAATTTCACACAGTGATTCCTGAACAAACATGAATCATATCTTTTTAGTGAATCAAACATTGGTTGCACTGTGGATGTGTTTGATTCACTAAAAAGATATGATTCATGAGAGTTGTTTGTTCAGGAATCAGGCGACATTGGTCACAATGTGCGTGTTTGATTCTCTAAAAGGAGCAAATTCATAAGAGTCACTCATTCAAGAATCAGAGATTGGCACTTTTTAGTGAATCAACTATTATTAATAGACAATTATTGTACATTTATTTGTCAATAAAAGCCTTAATTGAATCTGTTCATTATATAAAGCGGTCATGTCTCTTCAGAAAAATGTGGACTGAACCGCTCCATTAATATGGGTTATTTTTATGATCTCTTCATGAACTTTTTGTAGAATCAAATCGTCACTTGCGTAGCTGTCAATGGAGGGACAGAAAGCCCTCAGATTTCATCAAAAAAGATCTTCATTTCTGTTCTGAAAATGAACAAAAGTCTCAGGGGTTTGGAACGACGTGAGGGTGAGGGTTAATGACAGAAATGTCCTTTTTGGCCAAACTATCCCTTTAAGGAAATTCTTACTGATGCCCATCCCTAGTGGGCGCTGTTTCAATATTAACAAAAACAGTGTGAAATAAATGAGTTTTCCACCCACATCCAGCATCTGCGTGGTCTGCCGGGCTGCGTCGTCATTCTGCGCTCGTATACGCAGGTCGTCCTGGTACTCCTGGCAGTTCATTCCCTTGTGAATAGCCTTGAAAAAACACAAACAGTCTATTAGGTCAACGTAACATGCACTTAAAAACGGGAATTGAACTAAACAAACGTGACGTTCACCTTGCAGAGGATGCAATTGTTCTCATTGCAGATGTCACACGTGAATTCGTTGACGTCATCTTCGAAGATGCACCAGCCGGCGCAGTCGGGCGTTTTGCAGTGGTAACTGTTCTCACTGCGCGACTCTGCGATGTTCAGCCTCAGTTCCAGAAACTTCTGGTACTCGTCCTGAGAGAGAAGCTGGTGGGAGACAGTAGAGTTAAGTGAACCGCAATAAGTCAAGGTTAACTGATACAGCATTAATGATCTTACCGATTTGATTTCTCGATCTTGAAGTATGCAGTTACAGGAATAAGCGTCGTCTCTATATGGACACGCCACCTCGGCATCCGTGCAGTTCAGAACCGTTTCCTTCAGACACTCCCTGTGGGATAAACAGAAGTTGTATTTTAGACTATGTTTCGGTGGTACTTCCTGTTTACAGGACCAAATGAAGTGTCTTAAATGACCTGCAGAAGCTATGGAGGCACTCTCTCAGCACGGCGCCCTCTCCTGGCATGATGGTGCAAAAGCAGATGGCGCAATCCAGTTCATCCGTGTTCCCCACCAGACTCTGGGAATCTGTTTCCAGGAGTTCTTGGAAATTCTTCTTTCGTTCTTCTATCAGAGACTATGAATGGACACAGCCACATGTGTTATGTTTGTGTGTGTTTTTTTTATGTGTGTTATGTCAAAATGCTAAAAGATTCCTTTTATAAATAATAGCATAATGTGGACCTGATCCTAAAAGACGCTATCCTAAGATGGAAAAGAATAGAATTTTATTAAATTATTATTAATTTAATTTTTTTAATTAAATTATTATTTATATAATTATTTATTTATTAAATTATTAAATTATTTTTATGTGTGATTAATAATTAATGAATAATAATACATTTAATATTTTTTAATAATATTTATTATAAATATTTGAAAAATATTTATATGAAATATTTAAAAAAATATTATGAATGTGTCGTAATATAATTATATAAAACATTTTATCCTATTGGTAAATATAAAAGACAAATTGGGAAACAACTGACCTGCAATATCCACGATGAAAAAAGATACAATTGCAATCCTCTTGATTTTTATTTTATTTTATTCAAGACTGTATAAAATTAAATTGCTTCATTAGTTTGCTTTAATTAATAAAACAGTATTTTTTTTTTATCATTTAGTCAACAACAAAATGAAAAATGCTTTTTGTGATGCAAAGTAAACAGCAAAATAACCCACTTAAACACTTTCAAACCAGTGTATTACACAAATACATTGTTTGGAAAGTCAAGGAGTGTGAAAACTCTCTAAATGTTCCTTGTTTTCACTTTCCATTGATCCACAGCTCTTTTTCTACCGTAAAGCTTTGTAGATGCAGGCATACGGTTAAGTACTTTCAAAAGTTTTGTTCCACAGATGTAAAAGTGGTTTTGACTGTAGTCCAGTATGTTGTGTCCTCTCATCTAACCTGCTCGTACTGCAGGCTGGCGAGTTCCTCCTGCTGGAGTCTCCTGGTTTCAGTCTGGTCCGGCTGGTACAGGTCCGGCACTGTATAGTTCTCAGGTCTCGCTGCGCTGCACATCTCGCACCCCGGACGTGTGGGTTTATTCAGGTATGTGCACTCGGGACATGACCAACCAATCTTCTAGAAAACCAAAAACAATTATAATTACGAGATTCATTGATAGATAGAGCGACAATGATAGCTAGAATGTCAATGATAGCTAGAGCGATGTAATTATAGATAGAGCGACAATGATAGCTAGAACGACAATGATAGCTAGGGCGACATAATGATAACAAGAGCGACGTAATGATAGATAGAGCGACAATGATAGCTAAGATGACAATGATAGCTAGGGCGACATAATGATAGCTAGAACGACAATGATAACAAGAGCACGTAATGATAGATAGAGCGACAATGATAGCTAGAACGACAATGATAGCTAGAACGACAATGATAGCTAGAACGACAAAGATAGCTAGAACGTCAATGATAGCTAGAACGTCAACGATAGCTAGAACGTCAATGATAGCTAGAACGACAATGATAGCTAGCTAGAACCTCAATGATAGCTAGAACGACAATGATAGCTAGAACGTCGATGATAGCTAGAACGACAATGATAGCTAGAGCGATGTAATTATAGATAGAGCGACAATGATAGCTAGAACGACAATGATAGCTAGGGCGACATAATGATAGCTAGAACGACAATGATAACAAGAGCGACGTAATGATAGATAGAGCGACAATGATAGCTAGAACGACAATGATAGCTAGAACGACAAAGATAGCTAGAACGTCAATGATAGCTAGAACGTCAATGATAGCTAGAACGACAATGATAGCTAGCTAGAACGTCAATGATAGCTAGAACGTCAATGATAGCTAGAACGTCAATGATAGCTAGAACGTCAATGATAATGATAGCTAGAACGTCAATGATAGCTAGAACGTCAATGATTGCTAGAACGACAATGATAGCTAGAACGTCAATGATAGCTAGCTAGAATGTCAATGATAGCTAGAACGACAATGATAGCTAGAACGTCAATGATAGCTAGAACGTCAATGATAGCTAGAACGTCAATGATTGCTAGAACGACAATGATAGCTAGAACGACAATGATAGCTAGAACGTCAATGATAGCTAGAGCGACGTAATTATAGATAGAGCGACAATGATAGCTAGAACGTCAATGATAGCTAGAACGACAATGATAACAAGAGCGACGTAATGATAGATAGAGCGACAATGATAGCTAAGATGACAATGATAGCTAGGGCGACATAATGATAGCTAGAACGACAATGATAACAAGAGCGACGTAATGATAGATAGAGCGACAATGATAGCTAGAACGACAATGATAGCTAGAACGACAAAGATAGCTAGAACGTCAATGATAGCTAGAACGTCAATGATAGCTAGAACGACAATGATAGCTAGCTAGAACGTCAATGATAGCTAGAACGTCAATGATAGCTAGAACGTCAATGATAGCTAGAACGTCAATGATAGCTAGAACGTCAATGATAATGATAGCTAGAACGTCAATGATAGCTAGAACGTCAATGATTGCTAGAACGACAATGATAGCTAGAACGTCAATGATAGCTAGCTAGAATGTCAATGATAGCTAGAACGACAATGATAGCTAGAACGTCAATGATAGCTAGAACGTCAATGATAGCTAGAACGTCAATGATTGCTAGAACGACAATGATAGCTAGAACGACAATGATAGCTAGAACGTCAATGATAGCTAGAGCGACGTAATTATAGATAGAGCGACAATGATAGCTAGAACGTCAATGATAGCTAGAACGACAATGATAACAAGAGCGACGTAATGATAGATAGAGCGACAATGATAGCTAAGATGACAATGATAGCTAGGGCGACATAATGATAGCTAGAACGACAATGATAACAAGAGCGACGTAATGATAGATAGAGCGACAATGATAGCTAGAACGACAATGATAGCTAGAACGACAAAGATAGCTAGAACGTCAATGATAGCTAGAACGTCAATGATAGCTAGAACGACAATGATAGCTAGCTAGAACGTCAATGATAGCTAGAACGTCAATGATAGCTAGAACGTCAATGATAGCTAGAACGTCAATGATAGCTAGAACGTCAATGATAATGATAGCTAGAACGTCAATGATAGCTAGAACGTCAATGATTGCTAGAACGACAATGATAGCTAGAACGTCAATGATAGCTAGCTAGAATGTCAATGATAGCTAGAACGACAATGATAGCTAGAACGTCAATGATAGCTAGAACGTCAATGATAGCTAGAACGTCAATGATTGCTAGAACGACAATGATAGCTAGAACGACAATGATAGCTAGAACGTCAATGATAGCTAGAGCGACGTAATTATAGATAGAGCGACAATGATAGCTAGAACGACAATGATAGCTAGAACGTCAATGATAGCTAGAGCGACGTAATTATAGATTGAGCGACAATGATAGCTAGAACGACAATGATAGCTAGAGCGACGTAATGATATAATGATAGTTAGAGCGACAATGATAGCTAGAACGACAATGATAGCTAGAACGTCAATGATAGCTAGAACGTCAATGATAACTAGAGCGACGTAATTATAGATAGAGCGACAATGATAGCAAGAGTGACAAGCTAGAGCAACAATACTAGCTAGAACGACAATAATAGCTAGAACGACAATAATAGCTAGAGCAACAGAATGATAGATATAGCAACATGATGCAAGTGACAGCGACAGATTGAGTGACAGATTGATAGATAGACAGAAAGGTAGAGCAACAAAACGATAGAGCGATAGATAGATGGAGCGACAGATTGATAGAGCAAAAATTAGATGGAGATCGATTGGACTCAACTGATGAATAGAGCGACAGACGGACGGACAGACAGATAGATAGATACCTGAGGTTTAGGAGGTAGAGGAGGAGGATGAGGAAGATCGCCTCCTCTGGCGAGCAGCTCTGGTGAGCGTTGAGGTCGGGGGCCGATGTTCTCTATTATAACTTCATTAAGAAAGACATGATGTTCAGTAAACTTGTTTTAAATATACAAGCTGGGATTTTTCATTAGAAATATAGTCTTGATACCATCAATCCGTCTGTCCTGTTTCTCTTTTCTCTCTTGTTCGCGGCTCAGTTGGGCAGTCTGGGCTGAACGGATGAAGAGGAAGGCAGAATCGTCGTGGTTTCGGACTCCGTAATTATACAGGGTGTCTTTGTCCTGGGCGAGACGCTTCCCGATCACCCAGCGCTGGAGGGCCGGGTGGAAGCCGTAGTCTTTATTGATCTGGAACACAAATTTATATATATATATATAGTATATATTTATTTATTTATATATATTATAGTATATAGACCATTTCACAAGATGTAAACAACACTGGTCCAGAAACACTTCCTGTTTCAGTTTGTAACTCTTTTCTTTATTTCACATGTAAAGAAAACATCTTAAAGATGTTTGTTTAACTTTTTGATTCAGTTTTAAATGTTCTGTTGGTTGTATTTTATCCCAGCTTTTATGTAGTGTTAAAAAACTGAAACAGGAAGTGTTTCTGGACCAGTGTTGTTTACATCTTTTGAAATGGTCTATATATTTATAGTATTTTTGTTTTCCAAGAGTTTTCCTTCTCACATCCATCAGGACCATCACTAACACACTCTTCACCTTTTCTTTGAGCTCTGAGACCGTCATGTAGAGAGGAACCAGCACTGTTATTGGGATGTGGGCGTCTGATACGGCGTCCGCCACTCCTACCCTCAATCTGCCACCACACAAAGCCAAACACAACCATGGTTACGTATGCTCAGCGTTTCAGTGTTTCTCGTGTGATGGAACCGGTCTGACGGCATACCTGATGCTGTCTTTAGAGTACACGTCTGGATTTATTTTGACACACACGGGGAGTTTCAGGTCCAGGAGTCGATCCAGGTGTTTAGTGGCTTCATCTTTGTCTCGGGAGTTGATGGCGTCACTCAGCAGTTGTGCGGCATCCTCCGCTGCCACGGTAACATAAGGCATGTTGCTATGTCAAAATGTGACTTATGGTATTTATATTTACTGCATAATATATTTACTAACACTCACCTTCTTTTATATTGCTAGAGGCATCTAGGGCAGCCATGCTTTAATCTTGAAAGCTTAGTAAAAAAAATAAAAATAAAGCAATAAGTTTACGTAACAATAATTTTAAATGGTTATTAAAATTAAATGTATGTATAAAATATTGTGTTTTTTTATATACTGTATATTATATCCAAATATGTATAATTGTTTATGTCCAAAACAAAAACAGCAATGCCATGGTTTAGAGAAAGAAATATATTAGATTTTGTTTTATTATTTATTGAACAATAACACAACAGTGGAAGTGTTATCTCACCTTGACAATACAACTAAAAATTAGCTTACAATTTTTAGACATATATGTGAATACTAAAAAAAGTTTTAAATATTGAATATATTTAAAATATATATATATACTTATATTTTTAGATAAATTAAATATTTATTTATTAATAAAATATTATATTATATATTATTTTTATTATTATTATATTATTTTTTGTCATGTCATTTCACATCATAATGTATCATTATATCATTATATGTCTAAAAAACTGCAATAAGTTTTACGCTAAAATTGTTTTAAATAGTTCATATATTTATATAAATATATTTAAATATTTTTAAATAAAATACAAATTTATAAATATCAATAAAAATATTTAAATATATTATATTAACATTGCAATATGTTTTAGTCTGCATTTTTTAAAATAGTTAATATATTTAACAGTTAACAATTATATATTATAATATATTATTATATGCTATTATAATATAGTGTAATATATATTTTAATATAATATAATATACAGTGTGTGTATATATATATACACACACTGTATATTATATTATATTAAAATATATATTACACTATATTTCCAAAAAAAAGCAATTTTTGTAGATATTGGATCACAAACAAGTACTGTGCTTATACTATGGTTTTTGTATATGATCTGCACTGTAAAAAGTGGTAACCTGCAATTGTTACATTAAAGAGCTATTTCATTAAAGAGCTATAACTCATTTAATAGATTACATTTAGGTTTGCTGGTATACATTTATCTTGGTTCAGTGATGTTAAATCATATTTTTGATAGTTAATTTAGATGTTTGATATGATATGGTACCATATTCATATACCTATTTATTTAATTGCATTATATTACAATACATGCCTGTTCCAGATTACAGTAGTACTTTTATTGACATTTTGCACCAGTTGAAATTCGACCCATTAAACTATTCTAACAATTGGTAAAAACATGGCAGCGCAAAGGTACTGTTTGTTAGCGTAATTTATAACTAAACCATAATAGAAATAAGTAATTATGAATACCGGTACATATATTTTTACCTACATCTAAGAAATTGCATACAAAGTGCATTATGTATTTTTACACTATCGTTCAAATTTGACAACCGCAAACATAAAACATGCCCTCGTTCAGCACACCAGCAGCGACAGTAAAACAAATATGACGAAATGAAACTTACCAACCATAGGACAAATTTAATAAAACTCTTCGTGTTCTATCTGTGTGTGTTTAAGTAAACGCTGTTAATTAAAACCTCCGTGCTATTCTCAAAACGGGAAATTTAAAGGAATGAAAAGTGAAACGAAGTTGCTTCAAGGAAGTTCCAGTCAGCGCAGTGGGAAAGTCTCGTGAGGTTGTGCAACCCATCAAACAGATGCGGAAGACACTCGGCTGACAGTTCACTGTAGTATTTGTACATTTATGCTATATAATAAAATGAATTAACATAATAATATTTTTTCGACCAAAAAATCGAATATAAATATACAAATAACTGAAATTAAAGTCCCTGTAAAATCCAAATTAAAGTTTTTTTTTTTTTTACTTTTAGCTGAATTGAAATATGGCCAAAAATATAGCTGTAAACATGACTGCTTTTGTTTAAATAGTCTTCTAAAAATATAAAATATTTAATATAAAATATAAAAGATTTACTGTCTTATTGTCATTTGTTGACTTTTAACGAGGTGTTCTCGCGAGATTTGACAGCGCGAGAGGGTGCATGGCGCTCCGCGTGCTGTGAGTGAAGGACAAACAAAGCCTGTAATTCCGTGAGTTTATCTGTTTTTAGACATCTAAACGGTTGTTTAATTGCATAATTTAATATAAATTGATGTTTAAGCGGCTGCAGGTTCTTTAACTCCGTAGTTTAAGTGTTTCTGGACTTGGGAGCGCCAACACAGACCTTGCACGTGACCTAGAAGAAACTGATCTTCCCAATAATGCTTATTACTTTAATAATTCACCTTTATAAAAAATATTGTTGTGACAGTACTATGATAAAATGATTGTATTGTATTGTTGCAATCTCATATACATGGTTGTATTAATTTAGCATGTTTGAATATGCAACTATTTATATAAACGGACATCTCTGTGACAATTTCTGCCATTGACATACATTGATTCTTGAAGTAAATATGAACTGAAATGCATCGATATTAACGAGTTTATATCTTTCTTTATTCTAGCACACCATCTGAAAGGATTTGTGTCAAACAACAAGCTATGGAGGAACCCTCAAAATTTGAGCGATATGTTTATAAAAATGCTTCAGTTTATCATTATATGAAAATATCTCTGTAAGTGTCATGATACAGGTCAGTTTTGATCTGGATCTTTTTTTTATTGCAGTCTTTAGTCGGTGAACATAAAATGGATTGAAAAACATAACATTTTTCTTTATTTTTAGTGTTTTGGCGAATGGAAACAGAAATATTCCTTCTGCAGATTTCAAACAATTGGTCATCCGTGGACTTAAAGAACTTTACGGAGAGGTGAGCACAGTACCATGTAGGAATATGGTTTCTATAAAGTCTAGTAAATGCAAATGCATAATACACTGGGAATTGTTCATTTAATTATAAATAACAAAACGTATAAATAACTTAATTTTCTTTGTTGGATAAATATGTGCTGGAGTCAGTAGTCTCTTTTTACTATATCCTGCTTTCTGTCCGTTTCTGATGCATAATCATATTTGTTCTGTATGGCAGATTGGAGCTTCTATTCCATTTGATCTGCTGAAGTTTGATGAGAACGAATTGACCGGCGTCCTACGAGTGTACAACAGGTAAGTCATGCTCCTAGCACAAATCTCGAACATTTAGACCAAAGTGTGTAAGCATGGTTTAATTGAAGTACAGAGCTGTTAGTAAACATAAATAAACTTGGGGTTTTCCTCTGGCCTCACCATTTTAATTATGATTTTTTTTTTTTATCTGAAATGAATAAACACTTATGGATTTGTCCCACCCATTTTGTGTATTTGTTCATTTTGAATATTCTGTTGTTTCTTAATCTCAGTGGCCTGGTGAAATTGTGGAGTGCATTAACATTACTGGGATCATATCAAAATGAGGCATGTGCATTCAGAGTCACACAGGTACGTATTACGCTCATTTACTTGAGCCCTGAGTCTGCACTTTTTTAATTCGCACTGGATTTCAGTAAAGAGCTTGTGGATCAATTGCATCTCTGCCAGGAATGACTCGACATAATTTTAATGTGGCTATTGGCAGTCTGTCAGCCAAACTGTGCGTACTTAGCAATTTGCATCAGAAAGGCGGTTACTGTGATGTCTGTTTATCTACTTTTAGATACTGAAACCTGTTTTGAAAGCAACTGTAATGTTCCCTTTATCATTGCAGGTGTCGCCGTTTTTGTTAGCACTGTCCGGGAATAGCCGTGAGCTGCGGTTTGAAAACCAGTTGACATCGTGAGGTGGGCCTACAAAACAAATACCTTGGAAAAAATGACGTTCTTTCTTAGAAGAAGTATTTTCAACAGAAATATGTATCATGCTGTCAACTCAGCACTGACAGTTCCTGCATCCCTCACAGTGGGGCACAGGTCGCTTTACATCGGTGAACGGGCCTCGCTAAGCAAAACATTCAGCGGCAGAGACGTTGCGCTTTTTGCTGAGCTGACAGGGGACATGAATCCTCTCCACCTCGACCCAGAGTACGCCAAAACGACCTCTTTTGAGAGGCCCATTGTGCACGGAGTGCTGATTAACGGTCTCATCTCAGCAGTTATTGGGACAAAGTTGCCCGGTAAAGGCTGCGTGTTTCTCTACCAGGAAATACGCTTTCCGGCACCCCTCTACATTGGAGAGGAAGTTGAGGCGGAAGCGGAGGTTAAAAAGATCAAAATGTCCTTCGCTTTTATTTCTGTTTCCTGCGCTGTCAAAGACAAAGTGGTCATGGAGGGAGAGGTCATAGTGATGATGCCACAGAATGGAGAGCAATCGTGAGGAATGCTGCCGTTTCAGTTCCAAATGCTTCCAGGAATTAAATGTTTTTGCTTATTTTTGTTCTTTTGAAATGTGACGCTCACACAAAGATTTAATATTCACTGCTTTTGTTCCCTGAGGTGCAGTTTAAATAAACTGTGTGAGAAAATAACTTGACTGGTGTGGGTAAAATCGAGCTGTTTCCGACCTCATCAAGGAGACCATTTTCAGATGCTTTCAAATAGTTATTTCTAATAGTAATTTGAAAGCAGTATGGTTAACATAATAATATTGCAATTAACCAGCAAAAGTAACCATTTCAATCTTCTGTAATGCATCCACAGTGTAACGTCAGGTTATTCACCACAAGATCTTTTGTGTCTTGTTTATATTTAATATTTGTTAAAATAGTTTATTTTGTATATTGGGAAAATTCAAAAAATCAGGATACATTCCCAAGAATATATAACGTTAAGATAAAATTGAGAATTCATTCATATTGAGTCACACGTTACTTCGACTGGTCACATGATATATTTTTTGTCAACATTTACCCTCAACGCTAGCAGCTTAGCAAAGATGCAACGCTTGTGTTACAAACTCCAACCAAAATTACATAACAGCAGCCATATAAATGAAGTTGAAAATAGTTTATTTGTTATTTTGATAAGTTTAATTTCATACCGAGCCTCACAAGAAAAGATATAATTGAATTTAGCCGTGAAGCCTTATGTGGTTTCCTGTTTGAGTGCACTTATTAAAACATGGCGTCACTCAATTTATTTATTTCATTTCAGTGTTATTGTCAGAAAAATAAAACAGAATATAACTGTAAATAATTGATCAATTTCTGTATTTTCGGCCGGCTTAAAAGATAATGGTGATTATAAACAAAAATGCGGCGTCACTCGCTTTCACTCGGGAGTGCGCACCCGAGTGGACGCGCTCCTCTCAGAAACAACATCTACGTCATAGTTTACTGGCAGTTTCTGATTCGTTTCTCCCACGTTGTCACAAGCACAGTCTCGCAGTGAACCGTCACGTCGTTTTACCGACAGAGGCGGGCTCTCGGTTAAACCGAACCCTGTCGAACCGGGGCTGTTTGGTGTTGTTTTGATGCAGGATGGCGTTCATGGAGCAGCAGCCGCAGCCGTTGTCCGGGAGGAAGCCGCCGCTGGACGACACCGTGCCGCTGAGCGCCGTGATCGAGGCCAGCCAGAGTTTACAGGCGCACACGGTAAACAGAAACACCGGAGGGTCTCTGGGTCATTAAAACCTTTCATATCAATTATAAATGCGCATGGAAATGCCAGCAGATCAGATTTAACGGGGCTTTAACGTCGATTATGACGTTCAGCGTTGTTGATTCTCGATTATTTGTCGATAAGGATCAAATTAATCGCGTTTAGTGACAAAGATGGCTAGTAGTTTAATATTAATTTCTGTAGTGAGTTCAGACTGGAACACGTAATGTACATCTAGTGAAAGGTAAAAAAAAAAATTTAAAATGTAAAAAAAAAAAAATCTGATTGAAGAAATAGGAAATGTCTGCATTCTGAGTTTAAACATTGAAAGATTTAGTAAACAAATGTCAACTTTGAATGAACTGACAAACAGTAGCATAAATCCTTTAAAAATATGTTTATTTAAAATTAAATATGCTGAACATAACCTTTAAAGAAAAGTGATGTGTAAATAGTAGTTTAAGAGGGTCAAGATTAAAAAATGATTAAGGTTTGAAGTAAACAATTTACAAGCATTTTCACAACAGATACCATCTATGCTGTTGATCTCATGTGACAATTTAAACGGTCTGTCTGGCTCTGTACTTGTGGTTTTACGGGCGGAATTGAAAAAAGTTCATTTGCATTTGAGCCGCACATAATTTCCTTGTGCTGCGAAACCGAAGCCACGAGACATACGAGTTTCCTTTCTCATCCATTCATCTTTAACCTCTCATGATCCATCATATGAAAGTGCAATCTAGTAATCCACTTTCTCTTCTGTAAACTTTACAACATGTTAAATGTCCTGTTTAAAAAAAAACTGAACAGCTTCCTTCGCCTAAATAATCAGTTAATATGATTGATTAACATTTCACAGTGTTGATGATTTTAATACATGAATTGTGTGGAAATAATCAGTCACAGTGGATGTCATCTAAATAAAAAAGCGGTGCAGTGCACTCTGGAAACTGAGTACCTTTACTCTCGTTTTAGTCGTATGGAAACTATCAGGTGACGTTTTTAAAGGAGAGTCAAACATTAATGAGTAAGCATCTGGACCTCACCGTAAACGTCAGGGTCACCGTGAGGTTTTTGGAGACTTGGTTACGTTGTGTCTTTTCACTTCCTGTTTTGACATTTCTTCACAATTCTTTCATGAAAACCACAAATCTATGACACCATGATTTCAGTCTTTTGAATTCCCAATATTGTGAGGAAATAACAAAGCAAAGTTGGACTTGTTTAGGTTGTTTTCCACTAGTCAGGCTAAACTGGTTTGCTGATGTTAAAGCTAAGCCAGTTTTTCAGCAGGGTCTATTTAAATGTATATTTCCTAGTTGGGATTCAGTCATTGTTTTTTCTCTATTAACAGGAGTATATCATTCGTGTCCAAAGGGGCGTTTCCACAGACAACAGTTGGACGGTGAGTTTGGACTATCTGTCTATCCATGGCGTCTATCATGTTTGTTATGGTCACAATGACTGATTTAGTTGTCATTTTTTTTCCGCAGGTCATCCGGCGATACAGCGACTTTGACATGCTTAATAATAGTTTACTTGTAAGTGGACTGTTAGAACATGCCTGTGTTGAAAAACGATCCTTTCCCATAAATATGTTTGACAACTGCCTTTTCCAAATAAATACTCTTTCATCAGAGTAAGTATGAGTCAATCTCTCTGTGTTGATAGATTTCCGGCCTAAACCTGCCACTTCCTCCTAAGAAGCTGATAGGAAACATGGACCGAGAGTTTATAGCCGAGCGTCAGAAGGGTCTTCAGGCCTATCTGAACCACATCACGCGTCACCATGTCCTCTCCAGCTGTGAGCTGGTCAAAAAGTTCCTTGATACTAACAATTACTCCGCAAACTACACAGGTAATACAACTAGGGTGTATTTTAAGACTAGATGGGATTTTGTGGATCAAAATTATTCTAAAACTCACCCTTGACTTATTTTTCAGAAATAGCCTTACAGCAGGTGTCCATGTTCTTCAGATCCGATCCAAAATGGGAGGTTATTGAGCCGTTAAAAGACATTGGTGAGTGAAGATGTACAGTTATTGGTCAAATGCTGACAATTTACATCATATTATAAAATATATTATTTATTCATTAAAATTTTAGTAGCTTTTACAATTGACCGTGAGAGATCAATGTCGTCAGCCTTGAGGTGCAGCACAACTATAAAAGTTAATGATTCAAGTTTTATTGATTTGTTTCTCATGATGACACGCTGTTTATATTCGCATCTCAGCAAATCACGTTGACACATTGATAGGTCCTGACAACTTGATGGATTTCAGAGGATGGCATGGCATTTATTCTTCTTCTAAAAACAGTTACATTGCCGAGACACGTTTGAGAAGAACCTTGCTGTTTGGTTTCTTTCAGAGGAAGATTTATAAACAAAGTTCTGACATTTACTTATTAGAACATGTTCAGGTCATTTTACTGCAAAATCAAAAGAAAAAAGAAAAATAATTTGAAAATTTCATCAAAATTAAGTTTGTAAATTGTCATTACCGTAATGAAAAAAACTCTTTGTCTTCAATGCAATGCAAAAAAAAAAAAGTTAATTAATTTGTTTCATTTTAAAAATACGTTTGGAAAGTTGTTAAATAGAAACTTTAATAGAAACAGAAAAAATAGAAACTGGAAAGTTGTAGTTGTTAAATTGAATTTGTTTGGTACTGTATTACTGTATTTTTACATGTTACGGTAATGAAACTTTAAAGCAGAAAATGTTCTTATGTTTTATGAAATGAATGTCACAATACAAAAATTGTATTATTATATTATTTTATTGTAGTATTTTTCACTTTTTGGTTTTTCAATTTTGAGGTGAGATTTCTATTCATTGATTTTAATATTTATTCAATCACTTAATGTCTGTCTTTTTACAGGCTGGCGATTGAGAAAGAGGTACTTCTTGGTCAAAGATAAAGATCATCCCAAAGAGAAACAAGTATTAAGTTGGGTAAGTTTCATTTTGATCCATACAAACACAGATTAACTTTTTTGCTGGTATATTCTTGCTCTGTTAATCCTGTACTTTGACCCTCAACTTGTTTAATTCCCATTATTATGTAACCCTGATGCAGTACATCTCAACACTACTTTGTTTGGCTGCACAAAGAACTTAACTAACTTACTAATCCCTCTTGACGTATTTGTTTTCATTCTCTTCTATAATTGGCCACAGCATTGTGTGACCCTTGTACTCGCTGTAACACGCTTCTTTACCAATTATAGGTCGATTTGGGTCCAGATAAGTTCCTGTCCGACAAAGATCTCCAGTCTGCGATGAAGCTGCTTCCAACATTTTCTGTAAGTCTTAAATTGGGTTGTGGGGTTACCGGTGTTGATATATTCTTGCACAATTGTTGTGTGAGTGTTGTTATGGTGTTGCTAGGAAGTTCAGGCCTAAAATACATTTACGACCATTCAGATTGAAAATCAATTTAATATAAATATAATAGCATTAATTTTTTTTTTTATTCATCAAAACATTGTTTCAGTGTGATGATCTTTTAGCAATCATTTGACAATATACATTATTTTCATGACTGATATGCAGTTATCGTAATGCAAAAGAAATAGGAATATAGTTAATTTGACTTTTGTTGTATTTAAGTGCATAGCTGTTCAGGAGAGCCGACAAACAGTTGGGAATGAACTAAAAGAGCCTGTCTTTGTGTACAGACCCGAATGTTTGGATGTTTTGTGTGCGAACGCCGTCATGTGCTCTTGTTTTTTCTGCGTCCTCAAGTTCAGCAGCCGTACTGCCAGATTACACATGACTTTAATGGAGTCTTTTGTAAAGATGGGCTTGCAGTGATCGGTTTAGACACCCGAACACGGGTTAGATGCAGTCTTATTTTAGTGTTAAAATATTTTCAGTGTTAAGATATTTAGTTTGCTTTTATTCAAAATTTTAGTCTCATT